TCCCCCGATCAAGCAACATCCGAGACGTCTACCGTTTGCTAAACAGGAAGAGTGCGAACACTGTTAAAGATATGGAAGAAGGCGATGTCATCGAGCCTTCAGAAAGTCCATGGGCATCTCCCATCGTCTAGTCAGAAAGAAAGACGGCTCAACAAGATTTTGCGTTGACTATCGCCGGTTGAATGAGGTTACGAAGAAAGACAGTTACCCTCTTCCTAGAATTGACGACATTCTAGACACTCTTTCTGGAAGCAAGTGGTTCTCAACACTTGATTTAAAGAGTGGGTATGGCAGGTAGAAATACATCCTGAAGACCGAGAAAAGACGGCATTTACTACGGGACAAGGACTTTGGCAATTCAAGGTGATTCCGTTTGGACTGTGTAATGCGCCGGCAACATTCGAACGTCTTATGGAGACTGTTTTGAAAGGCCTTTCCTACGAAGCCTGCCTGATATACCTGGACGATATCATCATCGTCGGAAAGAGTTTTGAAGAACATTTAGAAAATCTTAGGAAGGTGCTTCAGAAACTGAAAGAAGCCAATCTGAAGCTGAGTCCCTCTAAATGCAAATTGTTCCGAAAGGAAGTGATTTACCTGGGACATGTCATCTCTGCAGAAGGTGTGCGCACGGATCCTGAAAGGTATCAGCGGTTAAATCCTGGAAACGTCCGAAAATGTCCATCAGCTGAGAAGCTTTCCTAGGGCTTTGCACCTACTATAGAGATTCGTGAAGAACTTTTCTTCCATCGCAAGACCACTTCACAAGCTGACAGAGAGCAAGCAAAGTTTCTTGTGGACAAAAGAATGCGAGGATGCATTTAACAACTTAAAGGAAGCTTTAACATCTGCTCCAATCCTGACGTATCCTCAGCTCGACCGACCATTTATTCTCGACACCGACGCGAGCAATGAAAGTGTCGGTGCTGTTTTTGTCCCAAGAAATAGACGGCCAAGAACGTGTAGTGGCTTACTGGAGCAAGTGCCTGTCTAAACCGGAGAGGAATTATTGTGTCACCAGGAAAGAGTTGCTCGCCATAGTCAAAGCTGTAGAACAGTTCCATCACTATCTATACGGGAGAAAATTCCTGCCTCCGCACCGATCCATGCATCATTGGCCTGGCTTTTAAATTTCAAGAATCCTGAGGGTCAAATAGCCAGGTGGATACAGAGACTCCAAGAAATGACATCACTATCCGTCATCGTAAGGATCATCACACGGAAACGCCGACGCCCTGTCTAGAAGACCTTGCCAAGAAAGCTGCCGATATTGTTCCAGGGTGGAAGCGAAATACGAGCTGCTGACTCCGGTCGCAAGACAATTACACATCAACATCGGCTGATCGAGACCGTGGAGTGATGATGAAGTCAGGAAAGACCAGCTGGAAGACCGCGACATTAAACCCATAATGATTTAATGGAGTCATCAAACAGAAAACCTACATGGCAGGACATTTCTATCTGTAGTCCTACAACCAAAACTATTGGGCACTCTGGGATTCACTTCACATTCGAAACGGCGTCTTATACCGGAAATTCGAATCGGATGATGGGAAAACGTTTCCGATGGCACTGATACTTCCAAGATCCCGCATTCCTGATGTCCTTAAAGAACTACATAACACCCTACAGGAGATCACTTTGGAATAATGAAGACCTTACAGAGAGTTCGTGAGCGCTTTTACTGGAATAATGCAAAGGATGACGTGCAAAAGTGGTGCCGATCTTTGCGATGCCTGTGCAGGTCGGAAAGGACCGAGGAGACGCAGCCGAGGCAAGCGCAACTTTACAACGTAGGGGCGCCTTTTGAACGTATCGCCTTTGAAATCCTGGGACCTCTGCCACGAACTGCTGATGGCAGCAAATACATACTCGTTGTCATTGATTACTTCACCAAGTGGCCTGAAGCTTATCCTATTCCTAATCAAGAGGCTGTCACAGTAGCTGAGGTAATGATACCGCACTGAATTTCCAGGTTCGGAGTGCCTCTTCAGTTACATTCCGATCAGGGAAAGAATTTGGCCTCGGCAGTAATCAAAGAACTATGCAAACTACTCGGCATTGACAAAACTCAACGACGCCATTGCATCCCCAGTCGGACGGCATGGTAGAGAGGTTCAATCGAACCATCCTTAATAACCTCTCATTAGTGGTTTCCAGAAACCAACAGGACTGGGACAAGAAATTACCACTCTTTTTTACTGGCTTACCGCAGTGCTGTCCACGAGACTACCGGCTATTCTCCATCACAGATGCTCTTCGGTCGATGACCTTCGTCTGCCTTGTGATCTATTTGTTTGGTCGCCCTCCGGATGCTCCTTCATCGCCTGAGGAATATATTCAAGATCTCCAGGCCCGGTTTGAAGTGATGCACAACTTTGCACGAGAGCGAGTCAACTTGGCGACGGAGAAGATGAAGACCCGATACGACACAAGAGCTACTGAACATCAATTCCACGAAGGAGACAAAGGTGTGGTTGTGGAATCCGACTCGAACGGAAAGGACTTTGTCCGAAATTACAGTCACCTTGGGATGGCCCGTACACAGTCCTAAACAGCTGAATGACGTCGTGGTTCGGATTCCGTAAGTCTTCGAACTCTAAAAGTCGTTCATTACGACAGGTTAGCTCATTACTATGGCCATAGTACGTAATGTAAATAATTGTAAATAGTATAAGACCATGGTCCTTTTTTTTTTTAAATGTGTATTTGATTTGATTTGTATTTAGTATTGATTTGATTTGCATTTGTATTTGTTTTGTATTTGTATTTGTTAGCATTTGATTGTTTTATTTATGCATTTATGTTCTTAGTTGTAATGTAATGCTTATGCCTCATTGCATTTATGCCACAGTTGTAAGTTTAGCTTCCTGTCCAGGGATTGTACTGCCGGACGTGCAGTCCTTGGGAAGGGGGCAGTGTTACGAATTTGGTATTTAAAAAGCTAATGTTAGTTCAATTATAAATTAAATGGTTTTTATTTCTCGCGCAGTGCAGCGCGTGACGAATATTAAAAGAAAGCTAAGCCGGAAAATTGAAAATACAAGAGCGCGTGCATTAAATAAATAAATATCTCTTTTTGATTTCGAGAAAGTACTGGAAAATTCTAGCGCGTGATTTTAAAATCTTATAAAAGGAGGAAAACATCTCAGTTCGTAGTAGTTGCTTAGTTTGTTGTTGTTTAGAAAACTGCTCTTGTTGATTGTAGCGAATTCGCGGATTAGCGTTCTTTAGCTGTTTTGAATTACGTTCTATTGGGACATTTGAGTAGTTAAAAGATAACTACTGTGAGATATTGTAATACTGCATGATAATTTGAGAAAATTTAAGCATTTTTGTTGTGATAATAATAAATTTTTGTTCATTTTTCATCGGACTTGTGCATTCATTTCATAACGAAACGTACGCATTCAACATTATCATTTGAAAGAGGTAGACTGCATTGGTTTGCAAAATTATCTCCAAAATTATTTCTACATCTCAATGTGGGGAAAAATACGCTTTTCACCTGGTGTGAGGCTTGTTTACTCTGTCTATTTTATATGAAATTTTGTAAGACCAATTAATGCTTTTCATTCAGTTTTTTTGAAAAATGTTTTTCGCTTTCATATGATTTTAATCTTAATTTGAAAATTCTCTGGGTTTGTTGACTACTCACTTTGAAGTGTTTTCAATGTCTTTGAAGTTTATTAGGTTTCTGTTTGCTGTCATTTTTTGAGCAAATGATACATAATGGTCTTTGTTCTTCATACTTGAGTACTGGTAAATCCAAATTAAGTATTCTTGAGATATTTTCGAAACACGTTTGTCTGTGTACTTGTTGATGCTTGATCGTCTAATGCTCTCTTACGCTCGTTAAAAAATCTTATCCATAATTCTGCGTAAATCTCTGCAAGTGATTTTTAATACGGTGAATTGCAAGTACACGAAAACATATAACTAAACATTCACGTAGAATAGTATCGACAGAACATCTGCGCATGCTTGAACGCATCTTGGCTCCGAAACGGTAATCCTTGCGACCTGCCGCGCCATCTAACCCGCGCGATATGTAGACATACAGACTTCACCAGATCCCGAATGTCGAGACAAGTCGGAACTTCTCAAGAACCTGAGTATACTGAGTGGTGGACACAGCATAAAGTGCAACAGATTCTTGTTTTTGTCAATACTGATGATCGCGTGCCAAATACAATAAATTTACGTATTCTTGTAATTTTTAAGTTTAAATTAAGGCCGTAGTTAATAATAGTAATAATTAGTAATTAAGATTTAGCGCCAAAATACTAAAATACATTATAATTGCATACACTTTTTAATATGTTGTGGGGGGGGGCGCGATGAAAATTATGGTTGAAAATTGGGCCGCGTATACTGAAGGTTGAAAACACTTGGTTGAGGTAAGACTTAAGCTAGTGTTTTTGGAGAGAGAGGTTTGGTGGGCATTTAACACAGGCCCTTGGCAAGCATAGTTTACCCATCACACGGTCCAAACTTTTCCTTATCGTTTGTTTAATGAACGATCTAATACTTCCCAACCGCCGAAAAAGTTTCATAAAAGTTTATCTTTTTCATATTAGCTTCCTTTTTTTTAGCTTTTCACTTTAGTCTATATTGAACAGATGTTATGGCTTTATTTTTAAAAGAAAGATTGATATGTTAAAATTAGAATTGATTTTAAATTTCAATGTTGAAATTTTGAAACATGGAAACAACAGAAGAAATCACCTGTGCACAGAATCGAAACGCGAAGCTGAGAAGATGCTGCTCTTCAGAAGCAGGCAGACCAATTCTCATTTCATAAGAAGTGAAGACTTCTTCGGGCGTAATGACGCTTCACACTGAATCAGCATCAGAAATCAATTACAAGAAACAGACTCACATCCGCCAAAGAACACAGCTGCATTGGATGGAGAGATTATCCAGAAACGGAGAATTAGTTTCGCCGTGCATGGCTTTATATTCTATAAGTACAAATCTGTTTTTTGCTTCTGTTGCAGATAGTGCATCGGTTTACAGTAGTAGCCTCGTAAAAGGCTACACTGATTGGCTAATATATCTAAAGCCTGGCCATAGCATGAGATTAGTAGACATATATGAAACTTTCTTAAATGAAAAGGCTTGAGAAAATTTGAAAGATAAACCAACAATTGATTCCAACACAAGAATTGTACGAACATAAAAGAAACATTGGTCAAATGAGGATATTGAGGGAGACTGATGAGATCACGAAATTTCTTGCAGCCAGATTTAGCCTTTCGAGGCCCTCTGATGTGCTGTACCAAGAGAAGGAAATTTCTTAAAATTGGGTTGGGAAACAAAAATTGTTTGCAATCGACCCGGTTAGGTTTCACATAGAAGAGTATTCGACCTAAGGGTAGGATCTTAAGTTTTACTAACGTTTTTTTATTTTAAATCTTTACTATCACTTCTTATTTTCTACTTCCGGCCAGAATTAAGCGTGAAGGTTTTTTATGCAAAGTTTGTCTGGCGAACGCCAAGTATTTAAGTGTGGCTTTTTGCCAAGCGAGAGAGAGGAAGCATGAGTCGAAGCAGGCCGCTTACCTTAGAAGTTACGCAGTTGCTGGTTGCCTTCCAGGCCAGAGGTTTTAATCCTCTTGATAAATTAAACGTATTGTAGTGTTCACAGTCTCTGTGCTACATACGCTTCCTGTTAATATAAGGCCAATCTTCCACGTTTATTATTCTAAAGTTAAATTAGAGTTTAGTTTTATTTTTATACTTTTACGTTAGACCCCGAGTGGCGGGTCAGTGTATTCCGAAGTAACGGAAGTTATTGTATATAGAGAAAAATAAAGGGTTTTGTATACCCTTCGTCTGTATCCTGTCTACTTACTACAATTAGTTGAACATAGCTTTAGTAAGCTCTCTGTTCCGAGTCAGGTCCTTGTATGTTTCCCGAAGAAGGTAGAGGAACATTGAACCTGATAGTGGCGCCCACGAAGACGAATAACCATGGCCGAGTTTCAAGAAGAACCTGTGCTGCCTGCAGAAACGGCTCAGAATCCAGAAATGCCGCTGCCGCCTGGAAGGATTTGGTTACATCGTCCAGACCATTCGCGCTTCGATGAAACCAGCAGCAAGCTTTGACGGAAACTCACCGGTAACCAATTATTTTAAAAAAATTGGATGACCACTTCGTGCTATATCCAGTCCATGAGTTCGAGAAAGTCACCTTAGCTACCAGCGCTTTGAGGGACCAAGCGCTCAATTGGTTCAAATGTATAGGAAAAAAGCTCTTGGGTCAATTGGGAAGTCCCACTTACGAAAATTTCAAGACCGCCTTAGTAAAAGCCTTCCCTTTCGTAAGAAATCGTGCCAAATTTTAGGCAGAACTCTTCAGCATATACCAACAACGAATTGAAAATCTCTCAGACTTTATTTTAAGAAAAATTCACGTTTCAAACTCTTGTATGGAAACCGTCCGGATCCTGAAATAATTCAAGTGATTTTGCCGAGGTTACTGCCCCAATGCAAGACTTTATTGATTAAGAAATCCGACTACACTGGAAAAGTTATTTGAGCTAGCAATCCATTTTAAAGAGAAGAACGGCGGACGTTGAAAGAAGACGCCAATATCAACACGAAAACCAATTTGGTGCGCCAAGACTACAGCAAACTCAAGCACACGGCTACGGAAAAAAGCGAATCAGTGGGCAAGGAAACCCGAGCATTCAAAACAGCCTGCGAACGTCGACGTCAATAGCAATCCAGGAAAAAGTCTCAGGCCAGTGGAAAAGAAGGAAGCACGAAACGAATAATTTAAACTAAACGGATTTCTGCTGACGGAGGGTGCGGAAATCCGAAGGCCAAGAAAACCCCTCTTCCTTAAGTTAAATACAGTAATGTTAAAATTTGACTCTTCCGAAGATTGAAGTTTGGTGAATAATTCCCAGCCACCGCACTCCTGGATACGGCGCGCATTGTTCCTGTGT